GATCCGGAGGTCTAACCAAGGTTTGGTTGTTGCATCCTCCGGTTTGGCTGGGATCTTGACTCCTTTCGGGAGTGGGACATAGTTCTTCCCTGAATTCTGGTTTGGTCCCTTCACATTGGCAGACTTTTTGAAGGCATTAAGTTTCTCTTCGTCATTGTTAATACCAGATTCATGGGCTGAACATGAACAGGTTGTATCAAAGTCCTATTCTTGATTGTCATCAAGAGGGGTTATCTGCATAGGCCTCCTCATCAACCTCCAGCCGGTCATGCACAGCAAAGCAGTTGCTGCCTCTAAACCGCTTGCCGCCTATAGGCTTCTGGCTACCTCTTGTGGAAACGAGGTCTTGTGCCTCGATCTGACTACATCTTGAATGAGGTATAGTCAATCCGTGTATCCAATGAAATCTTTGCCTAGGCGATGTGTGCAAGCAGTGGGAACTGCACCTTTCACAACATCCATGCATGATTGTGTAGTCATATCCAACCCGGGAGTAGCAAAAAGTTTGCTTACATACAATTGCAGGTTGTGCATGGTGTCCGTCCACTTGTTGAGTTAGAGATTGTCAAGCTTGTTCCTGACTCTGGACATGTGGATCTTTGTATTGTTTAATCAATATTTCTTACAAATGACCACAGGTGTGGCCTTGAGCCACTGCGTCAGATTAAGCTTTGTGTACCAGGGTTGTGGCTTGGACTTCTAAAGAGCCCCGTACAGAGGGTTCGACATTGGTCCCCATGATCAAGGACTAGCTCATCAACTAAGTTTCCAGTACCTCTAAGTAGGCTCTCATGGAGCTGATCCAGGACTCCACGTTTTCCTTGCCGTCGTACTTAGACGGTACGTGTACCACCTTTCTGTCCATGTGGGGACCACTATAACTGGTACCAGCAAATGCTATGTCTGAACTCGAGGCTGCAGCAGTCGCAAAAATCCCAGCGTTGTCACTTGTTGAAGCAACAACGGGGTCTGCACCTACTGCAGGGTCCGATTGAACCACACTTAGAAACGAAGAGGTACAGGCATGGAGAGGAGCAAGGAAAGACTGGCTAGCAGCATTTGAGGCAAAAGGTAGAGGAAGAAAGTTCGGGATCTGGGCCTGATGCAGATTTGCCATCTGATGCAGTTGATCACTGTGCTCCTTGGCCGTATCCACATTTTGCATCTGCAGTTCACTTACCTGGTCAAAACGTTTAGAGATCTGACCATGAATTTCTCTGAGTAGGTGACAATCTATTAGAGCACACACATATGTGACAAGATCTTTCTTGACCTCAATGTCGAGCAAGGAGGGGACTCACGGCTGTTTTAAAACCAACCTCGAGGTACACAACAACCGTTTTTTCGTTTTTCCTCCTGTTCTTTCTCTTCTCTTTCCAGTGCCTTGTTGTAGAGGACTTGGAAGAATGGTTTGTCCTCTTCGTTGATTGCATCCAGTTGGGCCTTTAAGGCCACAAAAACCTTTATTGTTGCCATTTCAACAAGTCCCTCAAGATGGGTGCTCTCTCTCTCCCTTCTCTCTCTCTCTTCCTTTCGTCCAAGAGTCTCTAAGGGCATCGAAAAATGAACTCAGAAAAAGAAACAAATTAAAAAACTCTAAGAAGAGAAGGTAGAACTCCTAGCCGGAGCAACATTACATTTGGACTAGAGAGTTGTTATGACCCTGGCCAATTTCGAGATACAGATCCACTGGAAAGTACAATGCCATCCAATTGCAGAAAGAAATGAATGAACTTGAGAGGTGAGAGAGGAGAAGAAGAAGAAGAAGAAGTAAGAAAGAAGAAGAAGAAGATGTACACCAGCAAAGACAATGACAAGGCTCTTCTTCTTCGCCCAACAATCTCCTCCTCCTWATCTCCCCCTTCTCTTATTCATACAAGAAATAATAATACAATGTTGAATGACTGGTCCAGAATCATGTCCGAGTCCCTTTTCTACTGCAGGTATCACTCAAGGTCCTCCATAGCCATGRCCGCCTCTCCCACTCTTCACAYACATAGGCSGAGGCTATGGCGGACTACTAGGCCTTGCTCCGATGTCCAAAGGACAACTCAGAGCAGCTATGGTTGCTCCAGCTCAGGCCGCCATGCCCAGCCCTGCCTTGAAGCTTCTTGGTGTAGCTCCCCCGGCTGGGGACTCCTTGCAGCAGCGCCCACCAAGGTGATGAAGATGGCTGCCACCATAGCCAGGTAAGTACCCTTGGCGCTCCTCCCCCTTCCTCCTTCCTTCCTCCTTCTTCCTCCCTCGTATCCTTCTTCTTCCTCCCCCAGCAGCGCAACTCTAACTCAGCGCTGCTCCCTCCAGCCCTCCACCAATGTGTCGCCAAACTTGCACACCGAAAAAGAGGTCGGGTCTTCCGCCCGGCCAGAAGATATAGCGGCCTGCTTGCCTCTTGGGCGGTGACTTCCAGGCCACTGGCCTTCCCAAGCAACCGGTACCTCCTCCTATTTTTGGAGGGAACATCATTGCAGACTCTGATATTGCCTCTAAAGGCCCTAGACTCAGACTGGTACCCGCTAGACCTAGCCTACACTACCGGACTCTAAAAATGCCACTTTTGTCTTCTTCTGCTCGGCCTCCGGTACCTGCATATTTACCCCCCTACCGGGTGCGGTACCGGCCTACCTGCTACTTGAGTGCTTTTTCCCCTGCTGCAACCCTTCAAAGCCACGGCCACAGGTAAGTACGGGCCCTGAGGCCCAACGAACGAACAAGTGCCCTGGTGGGCCACACACACGCATACTCATACCAACCAGCACTCAGACAGGTACGGTCACACAAGCAGGCCAACCAGCACTCAGACAGACATGCAGTCCAGCAAGCACACACACACATAGACTTAGCAGGCGGGGAACTCAGTAGGGCATTCAGTCTATGAGCAAAACTCATAAATCAGTTGTGTGTTTCAGTCCGTGTTTGGACGGGTTATCACACTACTCCCCCCTCAAGAGCGAGGTCCCTTCGAGCGAGTAACTCAATCTGAGTCCTCGGCAAACGCATCATAGGTGAGCAAGGCAAGAGATTCCTAGAATACTCTATTGCAGAGAGCTTTGCTGTGATCTTCGGTGTGGCGTTAGCGGCGATCTGTCGCTCATAAGCTTTAACAACGCGTGGTGCGCTGCGTAGCAGTTCCTGTTTGGAGATCCAGTAGAGATCATCTAACGGGTGATACATGAAATGAACCTGGTACTGTTTGTTTCTCCCTTTACCTACATGTTGTTTGATCCTATCTATCTCATGCCCGCCCTTGATTGCGCGAGGGATCATATCTTCACGATAATCAAATGTCTCGGCATCACGATGGAGATTCAGTTTAGATGCGTGAAACACGGGATATGTGTGCAGGTGAGCGGGCACGTCCACAACGTACGAAGGGCCAAAGTGATCTTCCCCGATTACATACAAAACTTCCCAAGGCCCGTAGTAGAGTGGGAGGAGTTTGCGTGAGACCCCCTCCTCCTCTGAGAATTCAGACATCTTTACCCAGACATAACTTCCTACCTGARTCTCCGATGGTTTGCGCTTCTTGTTCGCATGATGAATCATGGCATGCTGTCGCTTGGTCATAGCTGCAACAGCAACTTTGAGCAAGCGATCATACTTAGCCCTAAAGTCGGGCCTGCCGGGTGTTAAACCAGTTGGCTGCTCAGGGAACAAGCAGGAGAGCGGATCGCGGATCTGCCACCCGTAGTGCAGCCTGTTGGGCGTYGTGGCGGTGGCAGAGTGAACGGAGTTGTTATACAACCCCTTGACAGAATACAGCTCCTCATCCCATGTTTCCTGATCAGGAATGATCAGAGCACGGAGTAGTTGGAATACAGTCTGGTTGATCTCCTCAGCCAAACCGTTGGCTTCGGGGTGTCGGCCAGATGTCATGCACAGTTTGATTCCTAGGTGGGACGTGAACTCCTTCCATTCAGCGCTAATAAAAAGCGGGTCCCGATCGCTCACAAGAGTCTTCGGGGTTCCGAATTGAAGCAGATATTTCTGCTGGAATTCGCTAATCATTAGATCTGTTGGGGCGTGCGGCGGTAGAGGGATCAGATTAAGAAACTTTGAAAATCGGTCAACAATCACCATGACTTGTGAAAACCCATTCTTGCTTACCTTACCCATGTCAGTGAAATCGATGGAGACAGACTYCCCGGGACCATCAGGAATGGGTAGGGGTGTGAGCAGCCCCATGGGCTTTTGTCTGCATGGTTTGATTCGTTGACAGACTTGACATTTAGCTATAAATTTCTCAGCAATCCCTTTCATGCCAGGCCAATCAAACTGTCACAGCAGGTTAGCGTACGTTTTTGCCATGCTGAAGTGCCCGCTCCGGCCATGAGCCAAGTGCAGAAAGTGCATGCGGAAAGGCTCGTGGTTGGGCACACACAAACGGTCATGGTTCCCGTATCGTCGAAAAATCAGTCCTCCATACTCGTGGAAATCAGGCTGACTACTAGGATCAGCCCGCAGCTGCTCAAGGATGGATCTGAGTTCCGAATCCTTGGTTGTCTGCTCTACGAGGTCCTCCTTCAATTTCTTTCGGAGGTCGTAGGATTTCACAAGGCAAGTCATGTATTCGGGGTGGCGAGACAAAGCATCAGCGACTCGATTGTAACAACCCTTTTTATGTCTCAATTCAAAATCAAAGATGTCAATCTCATGAAACCAGCGAAGTAAGGTASGGGACAGAGTAGTCTGCATTTTGATCCACTTCAAGGTCTCATGATCTGAGAACACTTTGAAGTGSCGTCCCAAAAGGTAATGTTTCTAGTGATCCAACGCCATGCGCAAAGCGTAGAGCTCGCGCATGTAGGTGGAAGTGGCTACCTTTACGCTGGGCATGCGTTTGCTGTAATACTCGAGTGGCCGCAGGCCATCGCCGTCATCTTGTTGCAGCACCGCACCGATCCCATACTGACTTGTATCCGTAGTGACTACGAAGGTCAGTTTGGGATCTGCAATGCGGAGTACCGGGTAACTTACCAAGGCTTCCTTGAGAGTCCGAAAAGTTTCCGTACACGCGGCATCCCAGGCATAAGACACATTCCTCCTGGTTAGTCACGACAATGGACGAGCAATACTGGAGAAACGGGGTTCAAACTTCCGATAGTACGACGCAAGTCCAAGAAAAAAACGCAATTCTCGAATGTTCACAGGCTGAGGCCAATCGCCTATGACCTCAATCTTGGTTGCCTCAAGCTCTAGGCCTGCAGCAGACAACCGGTGCCCAAGGTAGATGACGCTATCCTTCCCAAACTCAGATTTCTCCAAGTTGAGATGGAGTTGCGTTTTCTTGAGGACAGCAAGTACCTCCTCAAGATGCTTGAGGTGTTCCTCCATGGACTCGCTGAAAATCAAGATATCGTCCAGGTACACTACCACGAACCGGCCAATCTGTTCGCGGAGGACCTTGTCCATGAGACTTTGGAACGTGGCTGGTGCGTTCGTAAGACCGAAGGGCATTACGGTAAACTCATAGAGCCCGTCGCGCGTTTTGACCGCGATCTTGTGCTGGTCCGCAGGATCGACTTCAATCTGGTGGTAACCAGACTTGAGGTCGATCTTGGAGAAAACCTTGCACCCGCCTGCAGCATCAAGCAAGTCATCTATATGAGGCAATGGGTAAGCATTCTTTCTTGTGATGCGGTTTAGACCGCGATAGTCAATACACATGCAGAGTTTGCCTCCTTTCTTTGGCACAAACAACACATGAGCACCAAATTCAGATTCGCTTGGTTTGATCCACCTTTTGTCGATCATCTCATCGATCTGCCGCCGGAGTTCCTCCAACTCACCGGGTCCCATACGGTACACGCAACCCTTTGGAGGAACAGCACCCTCGACCAACTCAATGGTGTGTCGAACAGGTCGCGTGGGGACTCCACGTGGTTTGGCCAAGACTTCCGGAAACCGATCGAGGAGGGCTTGGATGTCTGATGGGACAGGTGGGGGTGGGGAATCAGCAAAGGGATCACCAAAGTCCAGTCGCAAATCGCGTATAGAGACGACCGAATCTGAAGTAGGATCATTTGAACTATTAGAGGATAGAGAGGTAGAGGTGCTAGTAGTAGAAGTACCAGAAGTAGATTCATCAATCGAAGTAGTAGTGGTATTAGCCGCAAAAGTAGAAGGCACATGAGCAGGACGAACAAAGGCAACATACAACTGTTCTTCCTCTTTGTGCTTGCGCCACTTTTTTCATAATTTCAAGGCATTCAAAAAAGTCGCTACGGATTCGCACTTCTCATCCAAGAGGACAGGAAGCTCGTTCCCCTGAGCATCTTTGACCATGAAGAGTGATTCCTTCCACTTGGTCCATTCGCATTGGGACTGCAGCCAGCCCAAGCCAAGGACAACGTCGAAGGGGCATTTGTCAAGGACAAAGAAGTTCAGTGCATGGGTGACAGTCTTACCTTTGTCAAAGGTAGTGCGCACACCTTTGACTGCATGTGTTGAAGAGACAACTTCTTTGTTGCCAACTTGGGTCCGGCAAGGGTTCTGCAGGGCCACTTGCTTCATCCCCAAGCCCACCTTGCGTATCCCATGTGGTGACATGAAATTAGCTGTAGCACCACAATCAACTAACACACGGAGATAGCGGTGGTTGATGAGAAGTTTAAAGAAGATTAACTTCACTGTCCCTTGGGCCCGCTGCTGTTTCATTTCAGCCCAATGCTCCAAGTGGTAGTGGAAGTCAATCATCTCAGACTCCTCCAAAGGCTCATCATACAATACGTTACTTAGCGCAACCTTGTCTTCAGCAGATGGTCGGGCTTCAAGGGAGGGCCGCTGATTTTCATCAGATCCTGACTCCCCTGTTGTAGAGTTTGCTGAATCTGACTCTACGCCCGGTTCTGGTTTCCCTGCAACCTATAACAGTCTTGGACCTTGTGATTTGGCTTTTGGCAATGCAGGCAAACCCCCTTTTTGAGTCTGGCCCGCCAGTCATTCTCAGTGATCCGGAGGTCAACCCATGGTTTGGTAGATGCATCCTCCGGTTTAGGCGGGATCTTAACTCCTTTGGGGAGTTGGACATAACTCTTTCCGGCACTCCGATTCGGTCCCTTAGTGTTGGCAGTCTTTTTAACGGCAGAAATTTTTTCTTCTTCATTATTTGCGTCGGACTCATGGGCTGAAGAACAAGTTGTATCGGTCTTGTTCTTGGTCGTCACCAAGAGTGGGGTCAACCGCATCGGCTCCTTCTTCGGCCTCCAGCAGGTCATGCACAGCCAAACGGTTGCTGCCCTTGAACCATCTGCCGCCCATGGGCTTTTTGCTGCCTGCCGTGCTAACGAGGTCCATGGCCTCCAGACTGACTACATCCTTCATTAAGGCAAGCCAGTCAGTATAAGCAATGTAGTCCCTGCCCAGGCGACTAGCGAAGTTAGTTGGAACCGTGCCCTTGACCACATCTAAGCAAGATTGAGTGGACAATTCCAAACCAAGAGTGGCAAACAACTTGCTTCGATAGGTCTGCAGACTTTTCATGGAGCAATTCCACTTGCTGTGCTTTACTTTATCCAGTTGAATCCTTGCTTTAGCAACAACATGTGGGTCTTGGTATTCCGAGATAAGGAGTTCTTCGAGGGAGGCAACCGGGGTGGTCCTTAGCCATTTGGCTAGTGTAGATTTTTGAAACCCAGCCCGTGTTGCTTGGACTTCTAAGAAGCCCCGTACGACTGGCTCGACATTCATACCCATGATCACCGCCTGGGTCTCAGCTTGAGTTCCCAGGATCTCAAAGTAGGCCCTCATGGAGTCGATTCAGGACTCGATGTCTTCCTTGCCATCGTACTTGGACGGTATTTAAACCGCCTTTCGATCCACATAGGGACCAGCGTGGCTGGGACCAGCAACAGCTGGTTCCAATCCTGAGGCTGCAGCACTTGCAGAAGTTCCATCCTCATTGCTTGTTACAGCAACAGTGGAATCTGCACCTGCTGCAGGTCTTGAGGAAGTTGCCATCACACTCGAAGAAGAGGTAGAAGAAGATACGGTAAGAGGGGCGGAAGTAGTTCCTATTGCAGCTTCGGATCCACGGGGTAGAGGGAGAGGGTTGGCCACTTGGGCTTGTCGCAGGTCAGCTACCTCCTTGGTCAAGTCATGGTACTTGCGGGTCATCTCAGTCAGATCATCCTGAAGAATCTGCAGCTTCGCAAAAACTTCAGCGATCTGAGTGGTATGCTCCTCAAGATTCCGGACTTGAACCAAGGCTGTGAGTATGGACTGCAACTGTTCCCCACACTGCGCTTCAGTCAATGAGGGGACAGTCTCTAGGAGAGCCACTTGCCTTCTTAGCAGGGTCTCCTTCCTCTCCTTCTCTGTCTCCTGTTCCCGTTTTATAGCACCATCCAAGAGTGCTTGCAGATGTGGCTTCTCATCACTAACTGCATCTAGCAAGGCCCGCCATTGCGTCGAATTTAGCTGGGCCATCTTTGGACTGTCAGTGTGGGCAGGTGGATCAAAGAGTCGCCAGACAGCAAAATAATCAACCAGACTCTCAAGAGGTTCACTACCCCCTGCGCTTAGACGAACACTCCTTTTCCCAGTCCTTGCCCACCTCAGACTATCACTTTCCCTCTCTCCCTGTACTCTCTCCCTCCTCTCTCTTTCTTCTTTCTGATTGCGAGTCTCCACGGGCATCGGAAATGAACTCAGAAAAACAGATAAAGCTCAGAGAAAAGAAGGTAGAACTCCTAGCCGGAGTGGCATTTCATTTGGAAGCAGAGAACAGCAGAAAAAAACAATCAAACTCAAAGATAGGTCTGATCCAGCGACCCAGTCTGATCAGGCTGCATACGAGGTCCTCTCGAGTCCAACCTGACCAGCTCCGTGTCCGTACAACAAATTAGACAATGAGTGACCAAATGCAACGATGGAGAATTGAGTGGTGTATAGGGTGCGAGTCAAGCCACGGACGGTGCAATCAGTATGCAAGCGAAACGTCAAAGCCAAGATCCCCTCGGCAGTGGGTGTCCTAATCCAAGAAGAATGAACTCATATCCCAGCCAAGAAGACAAGAGGTCAATGCCTAACCGGTTTGGGTTCAGAGGCTCTCCTTGTTTGGGCCCGGTTCCGCTGGGTCCCAAGGGTCCCACTTGGTCCCAAGGGTCCCACATAGGTCTCAACCAAGTCCCAACCAAGAAGAGTCCCACCTGAACTTAGTTCAGTCTCAACTGCACTCAAAAACGAAATGTCAACTTCTAGCAGAGCCTACAGACTACAACCGTTCAGTGATGAAAAGACAAAGCACTGTAAAAAGACTCCGCATGTATAACAAGATACTTCATTTTCCATCCATCAGGTGAGTAGGTAGATCACATGCATCCAGTCACACAATCAAGACCACAGAGGAGTAGGAAAGAAAACCCAGAGCACCCCAGCAGGACAATCAATACCATACACACATACATGGGCATCCCTTAGGTGCACGACACTTACCTGAGTGGCCTTGAGCTTCGAGATGAAGAGAACTCACCCCCCTTCTCATATGGTCCTCCT